GTTGCGCAGGGCGTCGACCATTTTGCCGCTCTCTCTGGTTGCGGCAGCAGGGCCATCTAGGCCCGTGGTCTTGATCCCTTGGAGGGCGAGTCGGCGCTTCCAGGGGGCGCAGGGGAGGGCGCGCTTTTGGGGTGCCCGAAGCGCGCGCTGGAGCTTATCAGGGGGCAGGGCCTCTAGGTGGCTGCGAGGGGGCCTCGCGGCCCGTTGCGCCGGAGAGCGCCAGCGAGCCTCGAAGTCGCGGTGCAGGGCGGACGAGAGGTTCGCGAACTGGGCGTCATCGGTGAGCTTCAGAATCGGGGAGTCGATGTCGAGGAAGCGCTTCCCGAGCTCCGTAGTCGCATGAAGGCGTCGTGCTAGTTGAACATCTTGGCGCCGTATCGCCCGCGAGATCGAGCGCGTGGCGATGTCCCTGCCGCCCAAGAAACCTGGCTTGGTGAGGTCCCCCGAGCTGAGGCGGGCCCAGTCGCCCCGAACCATGCGGGCAGCTTCGGACATGTAGTACTTTTGCAGACGGCAGCGGGACTCAATGAGGATTGTGCTGCGTGTCCGCAGCGTCGATGATGTTATGCAGATATGTGGCGTATCTGGGGTCGCGGAGCACAGCTGGAGGAATGGCTTGCTCGGCGGGTGGAGTGCGTGTTTTGATGCAAATCGAGAAGGAGATGATGGTATGGTCGCTGATGCGCTTGTCAGAGAGAATGGCGGAATCGTGCAGGACGTGGGCAGCCATCGAGAGCTCCTGTGACGCGTGGGAGGGGGTGCGGATGAACGCGTGGTCGATGGATGAGGAAGTGTAGTCTGTCCTGTTGAAGCGCGTGGGGAGCTCGGCCTCGACTCCAACGTGGAATCGAAGAGGGCCTTTCAGAGAGGCTGCTGCTGGCGGTTGTTGTTGTCCAGCTGGAGGCGCGCGCGTCGTCTGGGGCTGGTTGAAGCTGCTCGGCGGGCGGCTGGCGGTGTTGAGGTCCCGCGTGGCCAAGAAGGCGCGCGTGGTGTAGTCGCGAACCGCCCGATCGCGGTGCGCATGCCAGGCTGTGCGGGCCCTGTCACGGTCGCGCGCTTGGAGTTCATGGTTGTGGATGTTCATGATGGCGAGGGGGTGGCCTGTGTTCGCATAGTTGATATCCAGCTGCTGGGCGCGCCCGGGAACCTGCGGGACATGCTCAAAATCGGGGGGCTGGTCAGGGCGGATGCGCTCCAGCTGCGCTGGCGGGAACCAGAGGATGAGCATAGCAACGCCGCCGGTCGAGGCGGGCGCCTCGTGCTCGGGATCTGCCGCTAACTCGGAGAGGAAGAGCTTGCGCGGGTGCGGTTGCGTGTCAGGCCAGGTGCGACAGAGCGCCTCGGCGCCGTGGGCCTCCTGTAGCAGGATGACGTGCTTGTTTCGCATGTACTTGATGAGGGCTGCTCGCTTGCGGCGCTGCCTGCGGGGCCTGGGGCGCGTGGAAGCACGGGCGTTCCCGCTGATGGAAGAGGGCGGCATGGAAGAGTCCACCTCGCGCCACGGAGCCCACGTGAGCCCACGGGTGGTTAGGAACACCACGTTGCAAGCTCTGTGTCCGCGAAGAGGGCCTGGGAGGCAGTGAGGGTGTCCCCGTGGATGGGGCCGTTGAGTTCAGGGTTCGCTAGTGCGCGCTCGCTCCATTCGAGGATGGTGGGGTCGGCCTGGCCCTCGAGGTTGAGGCGCGCCAGCGGTGCCGCGTCGTAGAGGATCTCGCCCTTCGCGCGGGGTGCCCTCCAGCGCAGCTGTGGGAGACGCTGGGAGAGGAGTTGCTGAAGCTTCTTGCGCTGGATCTCTGTGCGGCTCTGCTTGGGGGATTTGTCGGGGCTGATGCAAATGTCGAGCCGTTGCCCGTCGGTGTCCGTTGAATAGAAGCGCCGCCATCTGCCTGCAGCGTCGCGGAGAGCACGTTGAAGAGCAAGTGCGCGTGGGGTGGCCACCTCCTTCGCGCCTTTGACCTGCGATATGAAGCGCCTGGCTGGGGCGTCGCCGCGTAGCTCCACTTGGCCACTTGGTCGGGCTGGGGGCCCGCGTCTGCGATCCACGCGTGGAGGTCGTAGAAGACGACGTTTGGGGACATGATCCGCTGAGCGCCGATGGAGAAAAAGGGGCGGGTCGGGCGAGCGGTCCCACTCGGAGAGCCTGGGGGGGGGGGGGGTGGTCTGCGATGGGGAGCTGAGCCCCCGCGAGCGCGAGGGCGTCGCGCATCTGGTCGATCTCCACCCATATCTTCTTTTGTTCAGCTGCTGGACGGTCTTGCTCGCGCTTTGTGTTCGCCGCCTGGTCCTGGGGACAATCCACCCTGCGCTCCGTCTGTAATGCTTGTTGTTGGAGGAGTTGGCGAAAGCTCTCGCGGGACTGGTCCAGGGGGGTGTCCGCCTGCTGCTTGAATGCCCCCACTGCCTGGGACATCTGGTTCTGCGTGAGATCTTGAAGAGCGCGATCGGAGTCCGCGTGGAGCCCAGGTAGCCAAACGGGAGAGCGGTCAGCAACTGGCGTGGGAAGGCCCCCGACGGGAGTGGCAAGGACGTGATCAGCTTGTTGAACGGAGCCTTCTGCTTGCGATGCGAAGGTGGGGAACGCCTCTAGGTCCCTCTCGAGGGCGCGCTGCTGCTCGGCGTCGAGGTGGACTGGGCCACGAGGTCGCCAATGATCGGACTGCTGGATCGGATCTTGCTGCTGCCCACCAGGAAGGCAAGAGGAGTCTGGTCTGGCCGATGATCGTCCCGATCTGGCGGACCTTTGTCTTCCAGCACCTGGTGCCATGAGCGTGAGGGTGTCTGCAGCCGCCGTGGCACGACGACGATCAGCGCCTCCTCTTCGACGGCGTTGCCGGCTGCGGCTCGTACTTCGGTCATCGTCGGAAGAGCTGGGCATGACACGGTGAAAGGGACGCCAGCCGCTAGTGGGAGTACGGAACCACCGCGTGACGACAAAATATGGAAGATATGGATGGCCGCCTGCCAGGCCAATAAGATGAGAAAGGAAGCGTTTGGGCCGCTGCCAGCCCCTGGGTGTGGCAGCACGCGGAGAGCCGAGGCCTGTGGGAGCCTACCCCGTGGAGGCACTGAAGAAGAAACTATATTGGCCTTGAGCCAAAATGGCTACGGATGGAAGAGGAGGAGGAGTAAGAGAATGAAGAAGAGGAGGAAGAGCGGAAAGCATGCTATTTGACGCCTTCTTACTACAGCCGGGGAAATCATGTGAGAGCCCCATATTGATTGGGAACCACCCTCCATCCATGCCGCTGCTACATACCATCAAGACTCGAATCTTGGGATTTGACTATATGTCAAGCGAAACCCCACTTTGAAAAGTACTCGTCATTCATCCTGATGGCTGTTGCAAGCTTCTGAAACGAATGTGGGCGTCGCTGCGGCGAGAGTCCAATTTTGAAAAGGAACCACCCTCCATCCTTGTCATTGTTGTAAGCGTTTCAGCCGACTGGGTGCGGTACCGAGGCTAGGAATCCCAATCTATGAAGCTTGTATTTTTTTCAGGCGACAATACGCGGCGCGAAGGCGATACCCTCCATCCTTGAAGAGTGTTTTTTTGTTGTTCTATCACGCTTCCCTCATCGAACCGCTTGGTGACACACTCACGGCATCCACTTGTTTGTCACGAGGCCAAACATCTTTGTGCAAGACGTTGAACCCACGCCTGCGCCAAATCCAAAGCAGTGATTTCTGCTTGGGGTGAAGACCGGGCCTGTTGCATGAATACACCCACGTAGCCGATCCTGCACATGGGCCCACTGACTGGGTCGCTGGCGTGTGCGACAAATGCTGCTGCTCCCACTTCATGGGCGTAGCCTCCGTCACAATGTATTCGCAAAAAAGCAACATTGTGAGACAGCTTCGAGCGACACGCCCGGCCTGGCCCTCGGATGCGTCTGGTGATGCGAAGGGGGGGGTAACTACTATAAGAAAGAAGGATGGGGGATAATGAGGAGGGGGAGAGGGCGGAGGAGGAGGATGCCCAGAATAAACGCAAGATGCACCAACGATGCTGCAGTACACCCTCCCGTCCCAAATCGCCTCTTCGCGAGTCCCGTCAAATATCCTATTGCACTGCTGGCGTCGCTCCCCTTGACCCGTGAACGCCCCGTTGGCCTGGCCGTCAGGCGACATCCGTTTTGTGAAGGACTCACCTTCCATCCTTTCAACTAACATAGGTACAAAAAAGGTAAATCATATCATACGACGAACAGAGATATACATCGATAGTCCCGTTTTGAAAAACAATCTACCCATACTCGTAAGCGTTGCGCGTGCTCAAACATCTTGCGTACGTTTCAAAGAAGCCTCCAACGATAACTCCACTTTGAACCGGAACCGTCCTCCATCCGCTTAGCTGTTTCGCATGTAGGAAATTCGAACCATTCAACAGTGAGGGTGTCTGAAGCGGAATCGCCATTTTTTAGCATGAGCAGCCTTTCGTCATTGTAGCTGTTGCAACATTTCGGACGAATATACGAGGCGCTGAAGCGAGAACCCCATTTTGAATACCATCCCTCCATCCTTGTAGCTGCTGGAATCTTCTGAGACGAGTGCGCGCGGCACCAACACGAATATCCCATTTTGAGCATGCCCTCCGCTCCAACCGTGCAAATGTTGGTCCTTTCAAGTTTCGAAAACATATGCTCTGGTAGCGTATCAGGCAAATCGCCCAGCCCGCCCCGACGACACGTCGGTGGCGCGAAGGGAAATAATCATCTTGAATGACATTGAATTGGTGTTGCGAGGCGGAGGAGCAGGAACCTCCTGTTGCTGCTGCTCCTCAGATACTGCCCCCTTGTGGAAGCGGAGGCTCGAGTCGAAGATCGAGGATCGAGGACCGAATCGAAGTATTTGAAAGTCCTTGGTTCCTTGGCTCCCGAAACCTCTGGGGGCCCCCTAAAGTCCCTGGAGGAGGGGGCGGGGTATGACACGAGACAACGACTTGCGCTTTCATGGTCGTCCGTCCACCGCTCTGTCTACTGCCGTGTCCGACGGCAGCCCGCCTGTCGGGATGTTCAAGCCGATGATCTTGTCCTGGGCGGGCATGCTCCCCCCACGCTCCCGACCAATGCTTAGGGTTTTGGTTAGGAACAAGCAAGCGGTCCGTTGGAAATTTGTCGGCCCAGCGGGCCAGAGGCGTGCTAAAATCTCCAGAACAAGTTTTGTGTTCTTCTGGTTCGCGCTCGAGCGCGGCGGCCCCTGGGGCCCCAGGCCATCAACAACTTTGGCTGGTGCCTGGGTGGTCGGGGTTACGGATGCGGGAATTCCTGGGGATGGTCTTCAGGGCCCCCAAGGGCGCCCCAGGAGCGCCCCGAGGGACCCCAAAGGATCTCCACAAGGTTTCTTCCGACCTCCGAAGACGGTCCACTCAGCCCCCAAGATTGCCAATGCAAGCCAAGAGGCCCCCAGGACAGCCACGAAACGGCGCAAGATGGCCCCAAAACGGCCCCAGAGGCCTCCCAAGAAACATCCAAACCCTCTAAGAAGGTGCGAAGAGGGGGAACCCGAGCTGAAATTTCAAACCCTTTCCCGACTGATGGACCCCCACACCGCCAGACAACCTCCAAGACGGCCCCGAGCAACGTCCAAAAGGCCCCCCAGAAGCCCCGATAGGCTTCCAAGACCTCCCCAAGAAGCCCCAAAAATGCCTTCAAGATGCCCTACAAGGCTCCAAAAATGCACCCGCGAGCACGCATGCAAGTGCCAACGATGCTACAATGAGCACCCAAGAGGCTCCCAAAACGGCTCATGAAGGCCTTACAGGGAGTCCAAGGGCGGACCAGGAGGGAGGACACGAACTGCCATTTCGAGCCCTCTGCCCCAAGACGCCCATGACTGCTCACGTAATACTTCAACGAAACTACCAGCTCCCATCAGTGCCGCAGTGGCAGCGAACACACGGGCAAACGCCCGCGATGAAATAGTCTGGGCCAGCGGAATGAGCGAAACGATTCAGTACACGCTTTTGTGCCAGCAGGCCTTTTCGAGTACCCAGCCTGGCAAAGGAGTCCCCAGATGCTGAACGTACGCGCAGTCGCGCAGAAAAGCTCAAGCAGAAAAGAAACCACGCACTGCATGCTCAATCACATCCGCAGCTCGGCGCGTGGCAACACGAGCGGTCTGGGTACCTCGGGCTGCAGCGCAGCCCGGCTCACGATGCTAATGGGGGACGGAGTAGCGCGCCAGGCCGGGGCTACGCCTCTCCATCGCTGAGGGTCGTCCAGGTCGCCTCTCGGAGCCCCGATGGCTGCCCGACCGCTGTGACTGCAGGGCGAGTGCGCGAGATGCCTACCGCAGCGAGGCTGTCTGCGAAGGTTCCGCGCGCCGCCCCCGATCGGAAGGAGCAGGCCCCCAGGGCTCGTGCGACCTGTACCGACAAACAAAAGGCGTCCTGCACACATGCTGTCGGAGATCCGCGCGGATTCCTCGGATCTGCCAGGGGCGGCACTGGATGCGCCGCCAGAGGGGCTAGCGCCGATCCAAGAAACCCGCGCGGACCGCCGAAGATGAATGTTTATGCATGTTTGTCTTCTTCGACTGTAGCGCCTTGAGGAGCGGAGGCGCGCCGCCGCGGCACATCTGGTGGCAGCGCAGGGAGCGGGGCGGGATGCGGGATTGGCGCGCGGCCTTTCCTGCCAGAGCTAGATCGTAAGCCCACTCGGCCGGTCGCCGCGAGCCGGCCACTGCTCCGCGATGAAGGCCATAGCCACTACACAACGACCATCGGCCGTAGGGGTCAAACTTGCCGTGCATGGCGGCAATCTTGCCATTGGTCAGCAGGGCCAACCAATACTAATACTGATCCCCCGCGCGGCCAGTGACAGTGCCGTGTGGGACTGACACTTTACCTGGTTGATGACTGTTACCTCGGTACCTGCGTGGATGGGCAGCTCGTCGGCCCTGGTGGGCCTTGAACTTGCCCTGGTGAGCCCAGGCTCGGTCCCGAGGCTGGACGACCGGGCACCTGCGCTACCTGGTACGCGTTCGGCAAGCCCACCTCTTCACAGGGGTCCCTTACGTCGTCCGAGTCGTCAGCTCGCGTGAGTGCTATCGTGGTGGGAAGCGACGTGGAACGTGGTGGTGCTGTCAGTAGCATTTGCTTCGCTGTGGGTATCGCTGAAGCCTTGCCTGGTTTCGTCCTGGGCTCCAACCTGGTGGGTGTACCCGTAGGGGTTGGTGCTGGCTGCAGCGCCAGAGTACAAATTCCTCTAGTGGCGGTCGGCCCCGCCCGGTGCTGTCAACAGCTGGGAAGATGACGACGGAACACAAAAGGTCGTCGCGGGGTGTTTTGGGACGCTACTGGTGTGCGAAATCCCGTGGTCGGCCCTGGTGAACGGAAGCGCGATTGGGATGTCCCACGTTGGTGCGCCGAAACTCATTAAACAATTGTGCCCCTATCCTTGTGGGTACCAGCCGGGGCTGTGAACCCTGGTGGGTCACGGCTGGTGACCGTGTTGCGTGCAAGGGCAGAGCGCAGCTTGGTGTAGCTCATCTCGAATTGCATGCGCAATTTCATCAGTTCGCTCCAGACCCGAGGCTGGTTGGAGCGGTGTTGTTGGTCAGCGGTCTCTAGGTCAGCTTGGTCCTTCTGGGCAAGCTCGTCGTAGGCTGTAGCAGCCCGGTCTGCGCCGCCCATGCTTTGGAGAGCAGCGGTGCAGGCCTCCGGCACACGAGAAGGCGGCTCTCTGGACAGGAGGCTTGGCGGCCCTTGCCTGGTGGCTTGGACTGCGGTGGTACATGAAGCAAACGGCGAGGGCTCTCAGGAACCATTGCGGCGCGTGCGGGGGAACGGAGATGACGCGAATCACTCCCACGGTGGGGTACGGTGCGTCTGGTCTCGCCATGCGCGGAGAAGGTTGATAGCTGCGCTGGGGGCTTTGCGTCGCGGCTGTGCCCTGGGTTAGGGACCCTCGAGCCGAGACTGGAGAGAGTGAGAGAAAGAAATAGAGAGAGAGAGAGAGATAGAGAGACAGAGAGAAAGAAGGAGAGAGAGAGAGAGAGAAAGAGAGATCATGGCTGAGTGGCCGCGTCGCTTGGCTTGTGCGAGTATGACAGCCGAGTAGCGCTGCTTCAACTGAAACGAAAACAAACAAACACGTTACAATTGAGCCTCATGGGGACTAACGGAGAGCAACGAGAAGGCGTACACACGCCTGAATAAGGAGGGGGGGATGACCGAACATGACTACACCTCCATGACGGATCCGCCCCGGCATGTGCGCCAAATGGCAAACCCAAATCCGTGAAGAATGGCATGCTGTCCTCCGGGATGTCATCGAGGAACTTGACGAGGGACCTTCGGCGCAAACAACATATTTCTGAATGCAAGGCAGAAGCGCCGGGAACAGGAAGGCTGGAGGACATCCTCGAGTCAACACATACGGTCAGGAACTTTTCTCAGCGTGTCGCGGCGGCGGCCCTGGTGACACGCTGTGCTCTGCAAGTGGACAGCTTGTTGCTCCACTCCGTGGGGCGGGACGTGGATACTCAAAGGCCAGGATGTGGTTGGCGTGTCGCGCCGAAGCGTGGTGGGCCAGAACTGGCGGCGCGACACACTGAGCAAACATTCCTGACCGTACGCCTACCCAGACCCGGGCGATCCCATTTTTCCGACTCGCTGGCCCCCAGTCTTAGAGGCCTCCCAGATAGGGTCCGAGTGGAGGGGGTCGGAGGTCGTGCCGCATCGCCGATGCATCGGCGACGTCGGTGATGCATCGGTGACGTAGGCGTGGAGAAAATCCAGCTCCACATTGAGCCGCGTCGCCGATGCATCTGCGATGCAGTGCAATCATCCGACCTCCTCTGCTCAGACCCTACTTGGGAGGCCTGGAGACCCAGAACTCTTGGCCCCATCCCCTGGGGCTGGCTTTTCGGACAGAGCCATTCCTGACGGCCACGGGGGGCCCGCGGCAGGATTTGGACGCCGCAGGACCGCGAAACGCCTTCGACGCGGAATTGTCGTCGCCGCCGCCGTCCTCCCACGGAGGTCGCTGGAGATCCCTGAAAGCCTCCGAAAAGCGTCAGAAGGCAAACAACGCTCAGAAACCCTGATGCTCCCCCTCCCCTCCGCCTCCTCTTCCTCCTTCCATCCTCCTCTTCCTTCTCCTCGTGGTCGTGAAACCCAGACGTCTGATGTCTCCGCTTTGTCAATCCCCCAGCTCCAGTGCTCGACGTGTCCCCGAGGACCAGTCTTTTGGCATCCGGGCTTCAGCAAAAACAAAACGAAGCCCCAGGAGACCGAACATCGCGAAACACCACCGCGCTGTTTTTTCTCCAATCCGTTGGAGGTGCGGGCGCACCGAGGGCCTGCGGAGGCCTCCAGGAAAGAAGGAACACATCTCAGCACCTCGATCCTCGACCCTCATCGCCTTCCTCCTCCTCCGCTATTTTTTCCGCTATTTGCCGCGCCATGAAGGGTTTGATCCCTGAAGCGCATCGCGGCGGCTGCTGCCGCCGACCGAGGCGCCTCCGCGCCCGAGCCTAGCCGCACACGCGGCCGACGCGCGGGCGCCTTCGGCGCCGGGGGGGGGGGAGGGGGCCCCGCCCAGGGGAGAGGAAGGGGCCTCCAGGATCTCTCGGGGCAAAGGAAGAGCGGGGGGGCGAGGCCCTAAAGATGGGAAAGGCCAGGCACCAGAGGACCCCGCAAGGAGGGAGGAAACAGGCCGACGGGGGCCCCAAAACGCGGGCCCCAAGAAGGGGAGCGGGGTCCAATGGTCTACTACTCGCCCCCAGGTCCGGCGCGCTGCCACCCAGGATATCAGCCTGGCAGCTGCAACACCAGTCCTGGGCGGCAGTGCCCAGGCCCTGGGGCATGGTGGGCCAGGGCTCGCCTGGCGTGCCACCCCCTTTACCCCCCCAGCACAGGGCCCGAACCAGGAAACCAAAAGTGGAAGATGAGGCGGCTGGGGGTAAGGGGGGCGGCACCAAATTATGTCCCTCGGGACCCCGACGGCTCAACCCCCTCACTGGGCCACCTCGGTGGTCGGTGGTGTAGTAGTAGAGCATGATTCTGTCGCCCTCGAGCTTGTGGTACTCGACTCAGTCCTGCTGGTCGAAATCGTGTGATGAGCCTTCTCCATTTGCTCCATTCACTCCATTCAACTCAGCATCGCTGATCCAGTGGTCGTCTGTCTCGATGATGGTAGGCTCTTTGTACTTGGCTCGGTCGCCTTGGTCGAGTAGCACTGTTTGACTGTGTTGGGCTCAGGCTCTGGTACTCGTCTCAGCCGATGAGGTAATTGTCGTGCTGGTTAGGGTCGATGGGGGCCGGCTTGTTGCTGGTAGGTGGAATAGATTGTGGGCGCGCTCAGGCCTCCATGCACCGACTTCAAGTAGGGTTCGTGGCGGCCCTACCTCGTCCCGCTATGGCTAGGGGTCACGGTGCCCTCGGTGGGGGCGAACCCCAGGCCAAGTGATTCTTGCTGTCGATGAGGAAGATCAACGCTGCCCTATGCTTCGCCCTTGGGCGCTCGGGAGCTCCGTCTCCGCCATGGGAATGGTGGGGGTGGCGAGCTAGGGCGGACCGCGGGGGCGCGGGCAGTACTCGTCCTGCCCCCCCCCTGCCCCTCACCATCCCCCCTGGTAGGCGCGGGCAGTCCTCGTCCTGCCCCCCCGCCCTTCGAGCCCGTCTCGAAGTTTGATCCTTGCCTCACCAGGGCAGCGTTGACTCGTACTTGGTGCAGTTGGGGTAATCTGGCTGGTACCTCTGAGCCCTGACTGAACGGCGGCCGTGTCCGTCAAGTGCAAAACGTGGCGACGTGTGCCTGGGGTGTTCCCTCGCATTCGGGGCTTCCCCAGGACTTGCGTCCTGATGACTTGTGCAAAACTTGACGACGTAGCCTGAGGTGTTCCCACGCACTCGGGGCTTCCTCAGGACTTGCGTTCTGATTCTTTTGTACTTGTCGTCAGGGCGCATCGACGCGATCCGCGTTGTCAGCCTGTGCCCGAACAGCTCCTGTCGAGGTGGTGGCCCTGCCGATTGCCTTGCCGGGTCGGTCCTGCCGGGCCCACTCCCTTGCCTCTTCCAACCAGGTCGGTGAGCCACTCCGCCTCGCTGGGCCCCGATGGTAGTCCTGACCCATCTCCCTGGTCTTGTAGCGGTCGAGCGGCTGGAAGAAGTGGGCCACGTCGTCGTCGATGTGCCACCCCTGGACGTCGTTAGGCGACTCGCCAAAGCGCCACCTTATCTGCTTCGCCAGTGCGGTCGCGATGGCCTGGCACATCCTGTTCGGGTACTCCTTGGCCGCCGCGGTGCGCCACTGGCCGTCGTCGTTGATGCCTGCCAGCTCCGCGTGGTAGGAGGCCGTGTGAAAGCACCTCCCGCTCCCAGGCAGTCTACTGATTTCTGCTCGGAGGGTTGGTAGGGATACCGCCATCAGGCTTGTGGACTCCTCGAACGCGCTCCACAGGTGCACTGGTCGAATGTGATCAGCTCGACTCCCTGCTGGCTCAGGAGGTGGCGCGTCTCGGGAAGCTTCCAGGAGCTGGCGAAGTGCTCCTCGGTGGGCTCGGACGGGTGCTCGAGCATGCCTGGGACTCCCAGGTTGAGGCACATGTACATGAGCTCCAGCTGTGTCCTGTATAGGCGGTTGCCTGTCGCTACTTGCTCCATCTCTGGGCGGGAAAGGTAGCGAAGGCCCCACAGGCTGCTGCTGCTCCTTAGGGGTCTTGGTGGCCGACCCCTGCAGTCATTGGGGGGCAAGTGGCGCGCTCGGCTCCAGGTCTCGCACGGCGGTCCGCCGATGACTCCTGCAATTCTTCCTGCTTGTGCCATGTCTCGCCACTTGCTGACTGCGACTTCTGATGTCAGGTCGCCGAAGGTCGGGTCGTTGGCGATGTCCAGGCTGAGCATGTGTATGTCGCAAGCAGCCCGACTGCTGAGGCGGTCGAACCAGTCCTGAACATCTCCCTCTCGGCGACGGCCGCTGAATAGATGCAGCACGTATAGCGTCCGAGCTGGTCTGGGCCTCGGTACAGCAGCTGGCGGCGGTGGCGGCTCCTCGATGAAGGGGAGCTCTAGGCTCTCGTAGTGGCCGCCGTTGCTGTCGTCGCTGTCCTCGTCCGTATGTATTTCTGGAGGACGAGCAGGGACTGCAGGCTTCTCTGCCCAGTCGATGGGCCTGCCCGCCCTTCGGTTCGCCTGCTGCTGGTCGCGGACAATTTGCTGGTTGTGCTGCAGCTCGGCTCTACTTAGGATTGCTGGACGCGTCTTTCGCCAATGTCGAGCGCACCTGCGCACTCTCAGCAAGTGTTTGACCAGCCTGTTTGTAGTATGGTAATCCATGCCGCATCCGTAGCAGACCGAACCAGTTGCCCACGAGATAGGATGACCCGACGAGGTGTGGTCCTTGGTGATGTGTGCTCGTAGCACTGCTGCACTGGCTTCGGTACGTCCGCAGTGGTAGCATAGGTACTTGCGCTGCTGCTCGAAGTGCTGGTCTGGGAAGGGCGAGATGGCTTCCGTGTTGGTCCACCGTTGGAGTCGAAGCCGCCATCGAGCTTGGTAGTCGTGATCGTACTGGCGAGCTTTGCCACGTTGGCAAGCTTTCTTTACTGCGCTGAGGTAGCTTTGGTAGTCGTTCCTGGCCCAGTCCTTCCAGTCCTCGAGCGTGTATGCTCCACCACGCTCGTCAGGTCCTGTGTGGTCGCGGACCCAGTCTAGGTCGCGGCGGAGCAGTGCCACCCAGCCGTAACTACCATCCCATGCTTGGCTAAGTAGCCGGCGGAGGTGCAGGGGTCCCCAGTTGAGGCATCTGCCAAATAGTCGTAGCCTCTCAAGTCGCAGGACTATCTCTGGGGGCAGCTTGTCGACCCCTTCGAGAATCTGGGTGTTCGTTACCTCCTTTTTCTGTCGTACTTTCCAAGTGATCCTTTGCGCGGCAGCGTAGTTGACGATATACTGGTTGTTGAAATTCCTGGCCTGGCCTGCGGTGAGTTCGGGCCAGGTAGACGCATTGTATAGTAGCTGGGATAGCACCACACTGTCGGCTAAGTAGGCCTTGTCTTTGATGGCCAGCTCTGATCGCCGGTGGACTTCGCGATGGAGAGGCCTCGTGGATGTCGCTGCAGTGGCTACCTTCACTGCGACATCCACCCCAGGGGATGCATTGTCGGTCACGTAGGTCCCGAGGAGCTTGTGGTGACGAACCACCTCGACGTAACTCTCTGCAAGGGGGACCTCGATCCTCGGCACTCCCTCGGAGTAGAAACTGGCCCGCGCTTGCCGGCTCCCAGGCCCACTGAAGTCGATCATCACCTTGGTCTTGGTGAGTTGCAGCTGGAGGCCGAAGGTGCTGG